AAAAAAAATATGTAGCTAGTTCTAATATGATTAATTTGTTACAGTTTAAGATGAGTACCATGTACTAATGCTGAGGTAGTTATCTACTAGACCAAAAAACATGTGTTTGATCTGGCAAGTGGGCTTTCCCTCCTTCAAAAACAGTGCTCCTCATCTCAGTCTAATTAAGTAATCATTTTTCTCCCTTCGTTTTCAGTAGGAAATACCTTTTTCCACACGATATACAAACTTTGTATTACAAAGTGGAGTTGAATTGCCATTCCATATCCAAGATTTTTGATTTAATAATGCATCCCAAAAAGAAAGTTGTTCTAATTGTAAAATCAGTATTTTTCATGGTATTGAATTTAGACAATATACGTATGACATAATGAATTGCCAAAATATATTTTCGCTGGTTGGCCAAAAAAAAAAATCCTGAATTTAAAATTTAAGAAAGAAAAACAAAAGGAATTTTACTTACACCCTAGCGCGCCTATGCCCCATTGGCTGGGCCACTTCTCGTCTTGTATGCGTATGGTCCGTGACTCCGTCCACCTACAAATCCACGCGTGGGTCTTCAGTCTCCCGCTCAGCAGCACTGCGCGGTTCGGTCATGTTCCCTCTACCCTACATTTGGTCCAATATTAAAGCAATTTCACTTTAATGGATGAAATATTATTTTTAAATGATGATTTAAAAAAAAAAATCAACAAAAAAAACAAAATAAAAATTTAAAAGTGAAAATAAAACTGAAAAAAAAAAGTTAATTTCCAAAAAAAGAAAAAAAAAAATATTCCCCTTTGCCCGTTAAATGCAAAATAAAAACTGAAGAATATAGCTATATATGTAAAGCCTTGCACACACAAGTTCACCCCGAGCAACCATTACCGCCTTCAATTTCTTTCTTCCATCACTTTCTCTCCTCTAGATTCTCTGCAGATTTCAAGTCTCCTCTCTTCCATTTCCGAACTGCTTCACTTTTTAAATATATATTCTTTAACAACCTTCGATTTGCTATAATTTCAGTTTTCCGCCATGGATTCCTTCAAATTGGACAACGTCAAGGCTGAGAAAGCTGAGGCTCTTCGGAGATTCAACCAGAGGCAAACCTTGAAGAAGCGGCTTCTTCTCTTGTGTGAGCTTTTTCTTGCCTTTTTCTTACTCTCCTGGTTGTCAAAGAGGATCCCTTACGCTCTCCAGATCTCCGGAGATTTTGTTCGTGGATTTGTACTGGTTTTAGACCGGCCTCTGTTTCGGTTTATGCTTGTCAGCCTCCTTATACTCGTTATTTTTGTCTTATCCTTCCGGAAAACGAGCTCACCTGACATCTACGACCAGTATACCGGATCCTGCTGGAAGGCAAGGGGAAACACGGCGGAGGAGCCTGTGGAGGACACTGTGGTGGACAAACAAGTTATTCTTGAGGACATTGCGGTTTTGGAAAAGAGAGCCGTCCTGGAGACAGTTACGGAGGAGTCAGAGCGTGCAGTTTCTCCAGTGAAGCAGGACACTCTGAGTACAGTTACGGTAACAGAGGTTACGGTTAGTGCAGTGATAGTTACTGAGACAAAGCCTGCAATGGTGGTGAAGAAGAAGGACTACAGGAGGAGCCAATCGGAGATGTCCGAGAATTCTAGGAACAAAAACCGGCAGGAACTGCAGAGATCGGATACGACGATCGGCAGGCAAATGGTGATCGCCGGCACAGAATCGCGGAGGAAATCAATGGACCATTTGAGCAATGAGGAGTTCAAGCTCACAATTGAGAGCTTCATTGCAGAACAGAAAAAGACTCGGATTCTGGAAAACAGAGCATCATCCCTTGCCATAGTGAGTTCTAAGTAAAACTCAAAGCAAATATGGAGAAGTTCCTTTGAGAAATTAATGAAAAAAAAAAGAGAGAGAGAAAGAAAACTATCTCGATTATCTAATTGGGATGTACACTGACATAATATTCCCTATCTTGATGAATTTAGAAATGAAGAGAAGCTTCATGGGATTGATGTACAGTTTTTTGTCTTTGATTTTTCTGTTTAGGAATCAAGGTTTTTCTTTTGTTTTTTAAATTCTTGTTCTAGTTTGATGAATTTAATTAATTAATCCCAAAAGCTTTTGATCTTCCTTAGTTTGATGAATTTAATTGATCCCAAAAGCTTTAATTAATCCTAAAAACTTCTGATATCTTCCCGTAGGAAAAGTCAATAACATATGCTTGTACCTTCGGCCCACTTTGTCCTAACCCTTCCCGAATTGTGATTATCAATTTATCATCAATATTACATTCATTAAAAGCATTAAAATTCACAAAGACATAAAAACATCTATATATGCTTCAAATCTAAGCAAAGTTTTTAATTCTACTTCGAGTCTTTCCTCTTGAAATGGTTTTTTTGGTTCTTTGTGTTTGCTTAGTGTTAAAAAGGGGTCTATTGAAGAAGGGAAATGGTGGAAAATGGAAGCATCGGCGGTGGTTGTTGGGGAAGAGGCCCTTTGGAGTAGGGTTGTGGTTAGGCCTTGTGGGGTCTTTTTCTTACCACTTGTATATGAAAATTCAGCAACAAAAAGGGATGATAAAAGAAGGACGCTTTCTTTGTTCATTAGTACCAAACATTTCCTTTCCTTTTGTTGTTTCTCTCCCCTCGCACTAGCTATTAGAGGTGTACCCATTCAATTATATATAAACATCTCAATTATTTGCTCTTTTGTACCCCTATATCCGTACAATAGGTTCAACTTTCTTCACCCATCCCAAAAGTCTTGAGCTCCATTTGTCATAATTTATTAAAATTATATAAGTCAGGCGTTTAAATCTTTACAATAAATAGAGATATTTATTCATGAATAAAAGAAGAAAACATAGTTCAATAAATAATTCCCTTTCACAGCCAATTAAGCCATGGAATGCAGACTAATTAGGGGCATAAATAAATTTAACTCAATTTCTCCATTTCCATGCCAAGTTGCTGGTACTATTTGAGTTAAGCAACCTTGGAAGCCTTTGTTTTTAGTGTTCCAATACAAACTTATGAGCTCTGTCTGTGGCTTGTTTTATGATGGAGAAAATGAGTTAAAGAAGCCCCCTGCTTTTTTGACAGCAAGAGTTGATCCTGCTTCAAAGCATGCTGTCAGTCAGTTCTATGAGGAGAACAATAATAACACAATAATTAAATGAAAAAGCGAAAGTTAAATGAATGCCAACAATAACAAAAGCATTAGGAGTACTAAAATATGCACAAACTAATTGTCTTTATATTGAAGCAATAATATATATACATAAACTTGTCTCTCTTTTCTGGCCATGCAGGATTGTCACTCGATTTCTACCTACTTCTGCTCTCTAGCTGTCATATATGACCAAGAATAAAGTCACATCCAATTCCTATGCCTCTTTATACATCTATTCAATTAATTTACGTGAGAATTATAAAAATTTTATTTTGAAATAAAATTGTATATCAATTTTCTGTTTTAAACTTATAATTTGTGAGATAATAAGAGAATTATATATATATATATATATTTTGGTATGTAAAGATTAAATATTAAATTCTAAATTTATAATTCAAAGTAAAGATAACTCTATCATTAAATTAAATGATTGATGGTATAAGAGAATTATATATTGAAAAAGAAAGAATGCGTTGGATTTGTGAGGAAAAAAGATTACAATGAGTAGGTGACTAAACTAGAAGGATCATTAATCAAATTAATTAGAAAGGTGTTTGATTGGTGAAGTTAACATCATATTCAAAGTTAATTTAATCCAACTCTCAACTTGAAATTGCAACAAGCCTAAGTG